ATGCCCTCTATCCGGGTTTATCTTGGTATCTTCATCTATTCGCTGTCAACCACGCTCTTTCACTTCATAAGACGATCATCCATTGAACGTTCGACAAATAGAACTACTCGTCCATATGCAAGTACAAGATAATGTTATGCATTCATTGAATGCAGAGATTTACGATTATGCATTTTACCTTTCAAGTAAGTTTGTATCAATAATTGCCCCAAATGCAAGTCTATTGCAACTTGTGCACGACTACTGCCCTCCCGCCTCACCTCTCTCGTACGTTTCTCGTCTCGCTATCTCTACTAACCACTGTCTCCTTGACGCATTGTACAACATTCACAAGGTTGACTATCATTACGACTTGTTCCGTGAGCACGAAACTAAGCCTCATGCAGGGTATATGTACTTGATATCAGTAAGTTAATAATAGAAAAAAGAGTTTAAGAGAGAATACGAGAAGAGTAAAGCGTCCCAGTGCAAAGATAGAAACTGTGATAAATGTGAAATTATGTCATTCACGTCATGTATGATATTCATGCACATTAAATGGGGCATTCGCTGACCAATACAAATATTTCGATCAACAACTCGCTCAACTTGGCCAATCATTTATGAACTAATTGTCGCTGTATTCATGCGTAGCTATTTTCGTACATTATGAGTCATTAAAGTAGGGATCAATCAATAAGTGCACTTGCTTGCATCGTTCTACTTAATGTGCTTATTATTTTGACAAACATGTGCAGTTGGTGTTAAAGTCATAACCAAATATGAACCTAGTCACAATCTGGCGCAACTTAAAATATAACCTCTTTATTAAGTTCACCCATTTTATTAATAAATATAAACAGTACTTAATTATTAACTCAATCCATTAATAACATGTATTTTACTTAGTGTAACTCGGGTTAATAATAGCCTTTGTGTATTCTGATTTTCTTTATTGGTTCTTTATTCTGTATTCTATCGTCATTCGAGGTAATAAAAGGAATAATGATATTGGTTACAGTTCCAAAGTGTTTCATGTCATCTTTTATGGTGGGGACTTTTTGTGTCTGATAAGAAGACATTCCCCAACGTAAATATATACTTCTATATTCAGTAATCCACATTCAAAAGTCCATTGATTTGCAAGATATCGAGATCTTCCGCATACTTTGCAGTACAAGTGGTACCAAGTTGCTCTCGATTCTTGAGCCAATATTTTTAATACGTACTCTTCTTGATGAATACGAAGAAATAAAGTCCTTCTTGGTGCTACTGAATATTGTTTGTGTTTAGACCCAGTTTTCAAAGGGGGTGGGAAAGCCTTGATTATTGGTTTTCGGAATTTTCAAGTAAATTTCTTAGAGGTGATTTTCCGCAGTGTTTTTTGAATTCCCAAAACGGTAATGATAATAATAAGGTTGTAATCACAAATTACTCGCTTATCATCTGATCTACTCTATATTATCCAATCAGCAACGCTTATTATTATACATCACCATCTACTCATCATACCATACCAATACATATACGCCATACTAATACTAATACTAATACTAATACCATACACACCATACACACCATACACACCATACATCACATACTTTTACACACGTACCTGCACAATAGCTTCAAAATGTTCATACTAAAAATAATCCACTTTTCTCACAGATTTTCTCATCACACATATATTCTAGCATCCTATCCGCGAAAGGTCATGCGCATGGTCACAAGCACGTAATTTACTATTTGCGATCTGCGTGGACGAAGGATAGCACAAAAATCAGCCTACTCGTTACACAATAAGTGTTGAAAGCATAGAGTGGTTAGAATGCACGGTAAAGTAAAAATAAAAATAAAATAAAAAAGCTTGGCTTGATTAACCGTCGGGCAATGCATAGTATATTATATAATGTATGATTAGTCATACAGATTATTATATCATAATTAGCGAATAGAGAAACTGCATTCTGTATAGAAATAATTTGCAGGCAAGTAAAAATAATGTGTTACAAATGACACGCTTACGTTGAGCGTTTTAGTCTGATTTTCCAATGTTTTAATCAAATTGCAAATTGTACATATTATTAAATGTTTGTTGCAGGGAAAAAAAAAGGTTGCTTTGTAGAGTAGGCATAAAATGCTCATAACAAATAACAATTTAGTGTGCATGTACCATAAATAGCTAAACGCAACAACAATAATAAATATCTATGCGCCAAAATAGTAAACATATTAATGTTTACCCTCTTACTAACCTTATCTGACCCACACAAACAGGTTCTAGTCCTTACCCGACTCTTTATCCCTCTTTTTAGACAGTCCCGATATGGCAATGCGAGCTGTGAATCTTAAACTTGTAGCACAAAATAAACAAATGTAAAACTTGCCCAATAACAGGTCATGTGATTACTTGGCGTGAGCGATTGAATTATTGGGTAACGAAACTCAGACATTTATCCAAATTAGGGTTGATATAGCAGAATTAGGAAACGGTTGGAAATAAAACGGCATCTAAACTCCGATACTAATACGCAACATTTATTTTATTATGTGCCGTTTTACGTGCTCTTCAATCCAACCTTTTAATTGGTGAGTTTGTCTGACCAAATGCTCAGCTGATATATTTGAATAATAAATATTTATTCAGTTTTTTTTTTTACAACATAACGTCGAAAGTATATAAAACTCCTTTACACATGCTTTTTTTACTTGTATCAATCAAAACGTGGAATTTAGAAGTAATAAGAATTATGTTGACAAAACAAGGAGGTCAGCTGTTTCTATTTGTTCTACACATCGAATCCCCTCCCCCCCCTATTACTATCGGGTCGATATCGCAGTTACGCGGCCATCCAAGCGACTACGTAGTTTGGGCAAAATGATTGTGTTTTTGGCACTAAATAAAGCTGCCCTTTGTCTGCACAATTGTAATATGAATCAAGTGATTGTTAATTAATTGTAACCCCCTCCCACAAACCCATCGTTTATTCTCGTGTTGTTATACCAATACACTACTCCTCGTTTTTCTTTGTTTGTCCAATAACCATATCTGGTGTGCTTACAAACTTCATACTCTAATATTATTAAACAATCGTCTAATAAGGTTTTATTTCACTTGTGTCACAGCAAAAGCGATCAGCCGCTATTAAGTGTTACACTCGAGTAATATCACATTGCATAGAGTATGACAACGCCCTGATCGATATATCGATAAGGTTACTTTGAGAAGAGGGAAATCGTAGTAATTACTTCATTACAGTACGTAATCAAGTGTTTATTATTAATTATTCTTGGACCATGTCCAAAGCTGCTAACCGCTTAACTCCATCAATGAATAGAGATATTGAGCGGGAGGCCATCGATCCAACAATCTAGACTTGGACTTTCTCCAATGGGTTGCTAAATGCCTGTTATCAGGGTTTTGTGTTAATGAAGAGGAGGAAGGGGGGAGGGGGGAGGGGAGGGTGGTGAAAATGATCGGAACTATGAATTTGCGCGGTCGAGATAACGTTACCAGATCGGTCAACCTGATACATTAATTAATTTTCTATTGCGTAATCAAACATGCCCAAATGATTTAACCTGTCCCAAATTTTGGTTTCGAGTACAACAGTACCAAGAACCTGCAGATCGACTTTGAAACATTCGATAATTAATATGGCAGATCCCAGGTGTGTCTTGTTTCCACAATTACTTTTGCTGAATTGAGTCCTCTTAATTATGATGTGGTGATCACTCATGCTTGCTTTACGTTTTACAACTATTGAAAAATCCTTCTCTGCAGAGATTTGATATGCATGGTTTATACAAAGTCCGTTTAATGGCACGAATTAGAATTGGGGCCAATGCCGATAAATCACTGGGAAAGAAAAGCCAAAAGTCCAATTCCTTCAAAGAATGGTTTGTATTTATTCTTTTCCGTCAATTAACGTCGACATTAATAAACCGCAAAGCTTACCCTCGAACTAGAATAAGACGCCGCCGCTCTGAACGAAACAATCCGACCGTTTAATTGAAAGAAGCGGGTCGTTGAAGGTCCAAAACCATTATTATGGCCGCCACTATTTTCATACTCATTTTTTTCAATGCCGATTTTAATTTCTCGAAACTATAATAATAAACCGTACTTGTTATCTCCATTGTTCTGCCTGTCAATAGACTCTTCCTTGCTTGCTCTTTTTTTTTTTCTAGTGACACAGTCGATTTGTTGATGTTCTGCTTTTCTCCATTGTTCTTAAATTATTTATGTTCGATTAGAGTATGTTTCAGTCAATTTATGAAACGCTAATCAGATTCACAGTTGACAAGAAAAGAAGTTTTTATATGCTATAATGATTGTAGCACCTGCAAGTGTCCTTCTTTGTGTGCGAACCAGCAGAAGCAGCAGCGGCAACAACAGAATGGCTCAATAATCGTAGCTGAAAATCTATTTACGAGAGAAATGTCTATGCTAGGTTGGCATTGGAAAGCCTTTCGTTTCATAAATAGAAGAAGAAAGATCCCGACTATTCGAGGCGCGCGAGGAGTAAATGCAGGCATGAAGTTACAGTTCTTTAATCTTCATCTAACCACTAGCGAGCCGCTATTCATTCCCTGCCATAACCCTTCTTTTGGATCAAGGGACGAACTGCTCAGTTTTTACATAAATATGTGAAGGCCAGGGCTTAATTCGCCTCAATCTGATTAGAGTCGTCTAGATTAACGTTATGGTAACAAATCGAAGGCTCGAGGAAAAGAAATTATCGAATAGAACAATTTCTGTATTAATGTATCAGTATATTCGGTCTTGACCTACCCTGCAAGCAAGTGTGTTTGATCCAGATAATCTAAATGTTTTTAAATCCAATCCACCAGGGAATAAATTTATTAGAAGAATAATGTATATGGATCATTTTACAACACGCAGTTAAAATTTACAAAGACTATTCGCGTTGACATTGAGCAAAAAAAAATAAGATACATGTAAACAACAACACGTTTATGAGTCGAGACTGATCCCATGATGGATAGTTGCGGTCTCACTATCCAATTCCATACACTTTCTCAATATAAGTCACCCAGTGTACGATGATCTTCTTCACCTCTTCCCATCCGATCAATCCACCTTTGCTCTCCTCACTTCCTGCGCTCGCCGCCACCTTGAACCATTCACGGTGCACATTGCCACATCCGCTACACTTTTCAATATCTGCACGGAATCGTTCTCCCAATTCGATATGAATCAACCTCTCGGCACGATGACTATATTTGCATCTCTTTAATGACCCAAATGGACTATTGTTCTCATCTTCGTGAATGTCAGCAAAAATGTCCTCGAAATCATCAATCGTAGAGAAAGATGTGGTTGAGATCAAACTCTCGCGGCGTGACAGAGAAGGGGGAAGACTGACATTGGGAAAGTATTCGATGACCTCGGGCGTATATCCGCAGTGTTGAGACCACTGATATAGACGACGATGGAGATTGGTGGTGCGTCCCACTTTGTACAGAGTACTGGACGGATCCCGATGTGTATCTGAGCCAGAAACAATATGGTAAGCATAGATAAAACCCGGCTCGTCGCTTTCCGAGATCGGCTTCTCCATTTCAGATTTAAGAATGCGTCTGACTTCTTCCGGCAGATCAGGATTTATCCATTCTAACGAATTGGATGACGGACAATAAAAACATTATTGAATAACAAAAAGGAACGTGCTACCGTGTCAGTGTAGATTAGGAATGTGATAAACCAACCTTCAAATTTCAACCAAACCATTCTCGAGCGTCCAGGAACAAACAAAACACTCTCTACATCTGTATTCTGCGATTGAGCATATTCCACCCTATGCTGATGACAATATTGCCCCTCACCACGGTCGTGTTCGGAGCACTTGACACGCCGAATGCATCTCTTGCCAGTTTTGTTGATACCACAGCATTGAACAAAGTTTGTAGAATTTAATGGCGACGAGAATATTGAAGGAGTATCTCCGGTGAGATCCACATGAACGTGGGTGGATGTACGACGAAGTGGAGGAGAAGAGATTGCGGGGGATGGGAGAGGAGAAAACGGTGGAATAGGATGATATTTCTCTGATGGAGTTGGCGCATCAACGTCGGTAGTCAATAACTCTTTGTATCTATCTTTCTCAAGCGCCACCAAATCTCGACGTGGCGTAGGAGACCCAACTAGCGGAAGTAAGGACCGCCTTAGCGCCGCCGGCGACAGCAAATCACGATCACCGCGCTTTGTCGGAATAGGCGATCCACATGCTTTGGGCGTATGAGCTGGTGAATGTTGCGTTGAGGAAGACGGCGTGACAAATTCACCTTGTTTCTCACTTGATTGCTCGCCATTACCATCATTAAATTCTTGATCGGACCATAGGATCGATGGTCCATTGACAAGAGAACGAATTGGGCTTGAACCCAGTTCGATGGGCCGAGTAGCGTAAATTGTCTGCGTGGGTGAACTGGAGAGCCAGGGGGCTGTTGGTATTTGCATATCTGGAGTCACCGTTGTCGGCGTGCGAAATAGATCTTTATGCGTTGTTTCTATGAAGCTGTCATCAGGCACAGCGGGACTTTCCAAAGGGGTCGGGTGTTCCGGAGGACCCTTCGGTTGGTCGCGTGTATTGTCGGACGTGTCAGTTTGTACTTGTTTATCCTCATGCTCGGCAACACTGGGGCCGTCTTTAGGGATTAGATCATTATCATGTGTATCTGACTCGGACTGTGATTCGGGAGGTCCACAGGAAGGTGCTGTCGATACATCAGTTGACGTTTTAGATGTACTTCCAGACGCTTGAGTTGCACCCTGTAATTGTGTAATCTTTACTTCAACATTGTTGTCTAATTGAATACTAATGATTGTAGCCCTGGTAGAACTATCGAGGTTCTCACAATTCTGATCAAAGTTCAGTTTCGTCTGTTTATTACCAGCGCCCGAACGTCTCTGCGCATTCTGATTTGATAAACCTTTAGTGATCCCTGCGGACTTCTCCTCAACTGCGCCTGGCTTGTCGTCACTAGCTAAATCAATAACCTCTACTATTTCATCCTGACCAAAGTTCAGCTTCGTTTGAGTAGGTTGTTTACCAACTTCCGAACGTTTCCGCGAATTTGTCGCATTGCGGTTCTGGTTGGATATTGATAATCGATTTATGGTCCCTGCAAGTTGCTCGTCATCCCCTTGATCCACAAATGATGACGTCGCCGAGAGGCTATCTAAACCGGTGTCACTGTTTTCGTTAAACGCCTCCGTCTCTCGGTCCTGCCTAGCGTCATTCGGTTCTTCCTCCGTAGTTGGATTATTAGTCGGTAAGCCAAACACAGATCCACTCGTCTGTGCCCTATGATGAAAACAGTAATGGTCGACTACAACAGGACGCCGACAAGGTTGTCCTGTCGTCAAAGATATTCCTTTACAATGTGGAGTAAATGGTGAAGTGTTGACGCGACTTGGAGAGGGTGTCTTCTTGAAAACCGGACTGACGCGCGGAGGTGTTGTAAATTTAGAACCAACTCGAGTGGATTGTGCGAGTATTTCTTGCAGAGTTGGTTGTTTCAGTTTTGTTGCAGCGGGAGAGGATTTATGAGTAGGATCCGTACTCATTTTAATTTATGCAAATGAATGTGTAGGTCAAAAGTTCTATAATACTGATGTTGAATTAAACAACACCAATAAGTGAGCAAAAGATAATCAAGAGACTTACACTATTCCCTTGTTGCTGTTCGCTGAAACGAAAATAAACAAGGAAGTAGGTCAATATTTAGGTTGTAATGCTATGATAATGATATTATAATAAATAAATAAATGGGGGCAAACGCGACTTATATTTATGGGGTACTAACTTTATTGAACGCCACATCTCTAATCACCCCAATTTCCATTGTAATTAAAAAAAACGAAGCATGGTTGTACCGGGAGCCTTCTTTGCATTAGTTCAGTGTAAATGAGAACTTATTTCTCGTTCAAGTCGAGCATTTGTTAACACTGTTGCCAACACAAAACAATGTCGGCTTGTAATCTTATCACGGTCGTGTTATTGCGACGGAAACTCTAATTTGACTTTTCTAATAAATTGAAACGTTTATTACGCACAAGTTTCCCAAAGACTGCTATGCTACATTTATATTTATGGTCACCGCAGAAGCCCACTAGTTTACGAGAATATAATTGCGAGTCAGCACTATTGTATATATTTTATTCGTGGTATGAGAGATTACAGGTCAACGAATTTAAATATAAGGCTTCCGGTTAATATTAACGCAAAACAACAAAGATAATTGGATGGTGTTAGCAAAAGCCTCGAGATACTTATTGTTTGTCTTCAGTTTGGGGGTTCATTTACTTTGTCTAACAGATTTCTTTATTCATTTGTCTTTAATCGGTTGCGTTTGTTCTTAATTTCAGAGTCTTTGTGGGGGTTTTTCTTTTGTCCTCACTGATTCTCCTTCGGCTTTTGTTTGACGTATTTATTTCTCATTCTCTTATATTAAACATTTACTTGTCCTTCTAGCAATTGCCTAAATTATATGAAGGCTTTGTATTACTTGATTGTTTAGCAAACCTCAAATTTAGGATTAAGGTTTCCTAAGGTTTTTTACATAGCACTGTCAGACTTGAAAATCAACACCAATATATAACTGCTATACGTTATTATAGCATCGCATTTTTTGAAGATACGCGCGACAAATTGTTATGCATTAATCGCCGGCCCCAGAGATTGTCCGCACAGGTACTGTAGTATTGCTGGTAAAATGTATAGTAATGTTAATAAGCTTGATATGTCTGCACAGTTGCCTACTACAATGGAGAAAATGAAACCCAATTACAGACGCAAATAAAGGAAATACAGTAAACGCAAATATCTGACAAGACAGTTTGCCAATCGGACGGTAATGAAAAATTTTTTTCCAATTTTTCAATGCAATGCATAATACAAGCAAACAATTCGGTACTCTGATTCTTATTCTAACTACCGCCCTTTATATTTTGATTAGCACAATAACTAGCAAGGAAACTGCCTCTATTACAATCAATCTCGGTTATCAACTTGCAGCTGTAAATAATTTCACGTAATTTTGTTTGATATGCAATAAGTTGTTACAACAAGAAGCATTATTTTCTCAGACCTGCTTTAGGCATGTCAGAATTAACCCCATTTTAATAAACGTTTATAGCATTAATTTCTATAGAGCAAACATTTTATTCGTTTATTACAAAACGATAATGACTCGTTTATAACCAATTTTCTGCTATCGCTCCAAGGTCCTTGTTATAAGCTTTATAACGAGAGTTCTTGTAAAAAATTCACTAAAGCTGGATAAATTACTGAAAAAGTTAAATTGGAACCAGCAGAAAATTACGTTATAAGCGCAACTCGTTTATACCCAATGTCCATTACAAATTGTGTACATGTATTTAACTATACAATTGTCCGTTTATACAGTGTTTAGACAACTTCAAGATCTAGATCTTGATGTATTGATGATGAAGATATGACCAATTGACCGCATGAAGACGTTGAAATTGAGAGTTGAAAACTCTGTAATATGGCTGCTTCGATTAACTCGGAAGATGGATCGTGTACATCCAATATAAATAGCTTGATCTGATCTTGGATTGTGGATATTGCAGAGTTGTCTGCTATTGTGTCACCATTGTCTCTTGTGGAATTAACGAGTACATTGGTTGAATTTGTGTTGGAATCATCGGAGCTAACGGGAAGTGTGTTCGACATAGTCGTTGGAGCAGCATTTGCAGAGCCATCGGTTGCATTGTGATTATAATTGGTTGCATCGTTATGTCTTGTGTTGCTTGCTGGATTGGACGCTGGATTGTGTGTCGGGTTACGTACGGGATTGCCCGGAGCGTTGTTATTATTATTTATATTGTTATTACCTCTGTTATTGTTAACAACTGTCATTGGCTCTATTCGATTACTGGCTATGCGATTCCATCTCTTGGTAAAGTATCCGACAAACTGACCGTCAAATGTTATTACCAATGCCATCAGAATCGACACCATACTTGCAATAACGGGAGCTATTATATAGGCTTTATCATCATTTCCTGCCCGTCTCAAAAGCCATTCAATGTTAAACAAAAGCGTAAGGAGGAATAATACAGACTGCCATAATATTACAGCCTTGAATAAACCTGTGCGCTGTGTGTATGTTAATATTTTTTGGAGAATAAATATCACAACGAATGTGTTGTAAAGATCTAGGAATATGTCAGGGCGAAAGTACGTCCATAATGATTCCCCAAAAGCATTCATTTGCCCGGGAATACATGAAACTTTTCCGGCATTCGTTACAAGTTTGTATGTCTTCAAAGAAAGATAAAAAAATTTTTTGTAAGCAAATGAATAAGCGTCGATGCAAAACGAACAATAATGACTGTTCATGTAGATAAATTACCTCCATCGTAATGATCATCACTGTAAATACAATTGCCACGCAGACATCTATCGTTATTCTACCTCTTATGCTCATTGTCCTTTGAGTAAGAAATCCAGCGATTGCCAACCTCCACAACACATCTCCAACACCCGCAATATATCCAGTCGTTTGACAACGTTTCTGATCAACATCTATCTCCATTCGACTCAAAATCACTACAGCCACCCCTCGCCATATGCCAGCCATCATAATTGAGCACTTGAACACCATCATCGAGTGCTGCCTGCTTGCCATTATACTGTATACGAGGCATGCAAAGAATACGGCCGTGGCAATTATCCATGAGGCAGTAATGTAGAGCGAGTCATGCGAAATATATTCATCTTTGAAAAGCGACGATATCGTTGTCATATTTGTTTATTTGTGGAGGACTTGGCAAGTAGGGGATATTGTAGTGTTGTGCTTGTTTACAGCAACATTAGTTTTCTGTTGAAATTGACGAGAAAACAAACTGGACGCAAGTGAATAGTGAAACCCAGTAATATGCTCGTTATTATACTCCTAGATTTGACAATTCAATAAGATAAAACTTGTTTCTGTCACAATAAGCGACAATATATTACTACCAGTAATGATTCCGTATATAGGTCATTTGTTATCCGTAGTCGTAATAATAGTAAGCTATGCATATTTTTAATATCAGCGTTAATCCCTTTATAACCTGTTTGGCAAAAATGCTTAAATGGTAACCAATTAAAATCTGTCGATAGCCATCATTTGCTTCGTTGTTGCTATTATTAATATTACATATTCGTAACAATAAGCTCAAACACCTTATCATTGTTAAAAAAAACCCCGAATTCGGCTTTGTTTATTCAGTAAAAGTATCAAAAGCTGTGGGTTTGATACATTTGTTGAGATCTCCGTAGATCCCCTGTGAAGAAGTTGTTATCGATAACCGAGGTCTCGTTAATTCAATTCGACGTTGTGGCGAATTCGACAGAATTAGCATGCATATTAATATGCTGATCGATGATCATTATAATTAGTACTGTGGCTGTAAGTAAAGGTTAATCTTATTAAGCGTTTTAGGTGTAGCTAATATTAAGTCATGATTGTGGGTTGTGATTGGTTGTCTATTCTTACAAAGTATCACTATTATTAGAAATCAAAATGGCCAAGGACCAAGCCAAACCGGATACGAACCATTATATTTATTATTACTTCTCTTCAATCCATATTCGGTGGCTGACAACAGGTTATCAACAGTCTTTTCTTCGTGAAATTGGTCTCTACTTGATAAAAATAGTTGTTCTCTACTATTGCAATTACTAATTTAAAGCTGAGGGGCTTGTTTAAAAATATTCCAGTTTTGAGTGATTATGATGCTTGTAACACACAAGGACCTTGCAATATGTATTAGAAATTTCAATTCCATACTATTCATGAGTTAAATGTTGGTCAACTTTCAGAATATATGACTCTTGTATTCGAGGTAAACTCGATAAGTCGGACAAATCTTTCTGTCTTTTTTTTTTTTTTTTTTTTTTTTTTTTTTCATATTTAAAATCCTCTCGATTAAGTCGGACAGCCATGCCAGCCAACTTATCGAGTATTATTCGGCTAATTGCACTATTAATTATAAAATATTTAACGCTCTGCAGTCGCGGGCATCTTAAAGACAAGTTATGACGTATCGATTTTTCGTTTAATTTATTTATTATCGCAGAATAATTTTATCATTGTTTTTAGCCTAATAGGCAAATCTATTTAAGATTAGTGATTATTTCCTAAAAAGATTAAGTTTTAATCGTCACTACTAGTAATGTCGCCTTCGTCTCTATTCCGTGTTGAATTAGAAGCAAATGGAGCCGTAAGATCGCTTTCTACAAGTCTATGCATGATAATACAGTGTTACAGTTGAAACGTAAGTCGTGGTAGACACTTTAATTAACCCGAGTAAATGACACGCCACACTTACTTTCTAAACTCATAGGCTCCTTGCCCGTCAAATCGAAGAAGCCATTCGTGGTATTTAACTAAAAGTCACGTTAGATAAGTATGAAAGATAGAGCCAGGACTAAAGCAGAGTTAATGATCTTAAGACTTACACTATAATTCCACGCAACGCAATATTATTCAAGTCGTAGAGAGCAAATTTATTAGTATTGTCATTTCGAGAAATATAAGTTTAAATCTGATGATTCGGTACATACCAATGAGACACGATGGGAGACTGTGAACAGAGTAATTCCTAGTTTACGAGCGTGTGTGTACATAAGCCCTTCCACATCAATACTCACTGCACTTGTGCATTCGTCTAGTATTGCCTATATGATATGTACATCGTTAACAAACGGGTCGTGATAGTAAATAGCGGCAAACACGGATACAAATGGATACAAAGCAAGCTTACAAATTGTGGTCGATGATAGAATAATCTTGCCATAGCTACTCTCTGTTTTCCGAAAGTATAAAATTAGTGGGTTAAAAAATGACTAGTAAAATGCATGTCCCTATATAAAATAATAATGTTACCTGTTTCTCTCCCCCAGATAATACATCAGCCCAGTCCTGAACGGCATCCCATCCACCTTCTCGACCAACTATGTAACCTAGATGGACAACACCCAATAATTCCATCAATTTAGTATCATCATACCCCTTCATGCGTGCTTGTGTCCTTGTGTCTGGATATATAACCTGCCAATATCATAAAACACGTTAGCAAGTTTAATGGACATGTCTGTGCGACAACATTCTCACCTGATCGCGAAAAGTCCCCAATGCCAAGTAAGGCTTCTGAGGTACGTAGAACAACTGCGATGCTGACGGTTTGGTAACATTGCCGTCTATAGATCAATATAAACCAAGAATTTAATACATGATGCAATATCCATTATAGGATTAGATCCCATTCCGTAGGCATTCCTTCATCCAAGGTTTTAGACTAGTCTTTCTTTCTGAGATTGCGAAGTCGCACTCGATCAATCATAAAGTAATAACTAACCGAATAATGGCCACAGGTCCCCGAGAATTCGGAAAAGCGAAGACTTTCCCTATATTGAAGCAATAGACGTTGGTTAGTTAGTTATATACTTTATTACTACATAACTTACATGAAAGCAGATGCAAAATAATCGAGTCTTACGCAGCCATTAGGCCCTGATATCAGGCAGTTCATTCCCTTTTCGACTTTGAATGACATTTCTCTCACCTATTTCAACAAAGATTACGTAGTATGTAGTCAATATCAAGTGCATTTGACGATCAACGGATTTTTCATATCTTACCAAGACATCCCCATTTGGTGTAATTATGGGCACTTTTTCAAAAATAATAACACCGTCTTGTGTGGTCACCCTTCCACTAAGGTCATTGGGCGTTATAGCTTCAACAGACATTAATGATAGTTAACAGACATGTCTCTCCACCTCTTATTCACCAGCATGTTTCTTTAGTTAGTTAAAATAATCGTTATATACCTTTCACAGTGTTCGCCTCATTCACATCCTTGCTGACCATAGTCCGTTCATAACGACCTTTGTTAACATCCTCGAGCACATCAAAGAGCTCGGCCACACGTGACTACACAATATTGTATGCTGTTGGAAATAGTGTTATCAATGGAACCACAGGGTCTGTAGGTAATACGACATACCGTATAACCAGCGAATCTAGTTAAATCACGTCCTGCCAAAATCAGCCGTCCAACAGCTTGCGAGAGATTGACAAGATATCCCGCTGTAATAAGATTTTCATGAGCATTACTGGTAGTAGACTTTAACAAAAGCAGAGCAATGTTGCGAATAACCTACAGTTTCTTGAATAATCTTCCATAATCTTTGTTGGATCAGCATCTAACTTGCCCATGTACTCCGTAGCTATGTTGCAAGTACAGTAAGTATTACGAATCATGAATCATTCTTATAAGACATCCATAAAAGAAGACGCTTACCATATCTAGGATCAAAGACAGGTCTTGCTAGGAGACTACAATCGATTTCGATGAGTGTGAATATTAAACAGTCCCGATGTTCAATGAAAGGGAATTAAACTTACTAGTACGCTGTCATGGTCGCGCAATATTTTACCAAGACGGAATCAATAATTCCATTGGCGAATCGCAATCTATAGATTTTCTTAACGTGACGAACGATCTTGTCAAAGCTCCCATTAACCACAACTTTCTCACGCTCGCCGCCACCATAGAAAGCAATCTCTTCTGAGTGTGCAATAATGCGCGACTATAAGAAACACAAGTCAGTTTCAACTCTCTATTATGGATAGTACTAACGGTATTAATGCTTACATGAGTGAAACGGAAATCGCCTTCTAGTTTTTGTTCAACGGCAGTAACTGTAAAAATATTAATAAACCACGATTCAGTATCACGTTAGCGGCGACATGCGCAGTGCCATATGTAATACCGACATTTTCCAAATGGTGGTGAAATCGCGCGTAAAGCAACTCCGGACAGCATAAAATAGGCGATCATATATATAGGAGCTGTCAGCAAAATAATATGGTTAGCAGGTATCATGCAGAAATTGCATTATTGTAAAAAAAAAAAAAAGAGCGAAAACTATCAATACTAACCTTCTCGACCACTGCAGCAAAACAAGTTGGATTTAAGACAAGAGTTAATGTTTACTAGTATTGGTCTTAATATATTGCCATTGGAATTGAAAAGCACTTACATAGCTTCTCCCAATTTATAAGCAAACAGAAAAATATCAACCAATGGCTTGGCGATATCAGAATAAAGATGGCTGAGGTTTTCGGCAAATTTGTCAATATCCTTCATTCAATGATAATAGATGAGTACTAATATACGCGCATACACAAATATTTGTTATCAAAGTAAAGACACTCACTTGGGTCAATAATTGATCAGCATTTTGAATCCTGTTGTCCAAGTTGGAAATTTTGTAGAATGTAATGTCTCGAAGGTATTGATTATGCGCGTGCTATAAGGCAATGAAACCTATTTTGTAAGATGGGGATCGCGGACTTGTAACTGAAAAAAAAAGAAAGCATTACGAGATTACCTTTGTAAGACGTTTCCTGAAGGCTAATGACAAGGCACTTATAGATAGCTTAAGAGAATTATTCACTATACTCATTGGCCACTGTCAAAGGAATATGTGAGCATTTATTTTATCGAGCAATAATCAAAATGCAGATATTATTGCTATTACCATCATAAAACCAAACTCGATAATTGCGAGAGCAATAAATGACTTCCGATCACGAGATACAATCGCTTTGACAACGTGTCTAATTGAAGGAGTCGCATTAATGAGGAAGATCGGAGACGTAAAAATGTATAAATTAAATGCGCCACATTAAATGCTCTACCCATTGAACCCAGAGAACCTAATCAGAAATGTATGCATTATTTAATGGCAAATAAAAACAATAAAATTCAAAAATCAATCATGCTCGTACCAAATATCGAGCCACGTCCTAGCAATAAGAACCAGCGCAAGAGAAACCAGCAAGACAGATTCTTTTGATGCGGGGCCTAACAAGGAAAATAGTTAATTAGACTCTTCTGCCGCAAAGACTACATAAAAGGCCGTAGGAATTTGGGAACGTACCCGGTATGCAAATAGGCAAGAGCCTTTTGATCTGTTCTAAAAAATGGGCATCAACACCGACTTTTTTTTGGCGTCTACTTCTATTGTCTTGAGTGGAAACAATCTCTGCAGCTTCCGCCCTTCGGGTAGCTTGACGTTTTTTCTCTTCTCGAACATATCGGTTTATCAAATATCCAAGCAAGACTACTGTAGCGACTGCAGCCGAACGCCTGTTGGTGACAGCGGACTTTATGTCTCGGGCAGTGGACAACGGCTGGCCCATGATAATATTCTTTTTATTTTATTTTTTTAAAGAAAATCCGTGGTGGGGACAAGTCGGACACAGCTCTCTACCCTCACGGCTTGGAAATAAAAAATAAACCTGATAAGCAAGTGGCCACTCAAATCTGCGAGTTACGCGGGGAAAGAGCTTTGTCGCAAAAGGACAGCTAGTATAGTTAAACAAGTAAACCTATTTCAAAAAAAAATGCAGTGATTACGTCAGATTCATATATTTGGAACTTGGTATCAATTGAACTTCCACAGATCGGCCCGAAAACGGTTAGTCTCATCATGACCAAAGATGTCGTAATCGGCATAGCTTTCCGCTCGAAATTGTATAGCGAGTTTCCTTAATGATGATAGTAACCATTATTATAATGGACCGTCCCGAGCGATCGAAGCACTAGGACAATTTTAGCTTTCTGGGCAAGATATTCTCGAGATGCTGTGGACATTCATGTGCTTTTGAGCCACAAAATGATTCACGAAGAGGATACTTGAACTCGGATCTGTACTGTATCCGTCAAAATCTGACAAGAATTTTCAGTAAAGAGAACGGAAATGTTGGACTTTCTTTGCCTGACTTACTGTGACTCTCTCTTTGAAGAGGAGATTTTAGTTTGTGATAAAGCGAATATTTAATTGGAGGCAAAAAAGCATGTGAATTTTTTACAGCCTTGGGAAAGTGCGACGACAGAAACATTTCCGCCTGTTATGATCCTTGATCAACTCATCTATGAAGAAGATTTTCCGATTCTCGGAATCACTGGAGCGACTATCAGTTCTCACGTTTCATGTAAATACTACCTGTCAATCCCCCACTTTTAAATTGCATTGTGATTGACTAATATGTGATTATTATATTCAATGAGAATGTATTCGTGCACGGCTCGTAAACTCATTGTATCACCCATACAAAATATTCTCATGTACGTGAGACGTATTCATTGAATAAATCTGCATGGTATACACTCGCTCCTCAGCCACGGAATGCACATAATATCGCCTGGCTTTTTTCCTCCTCATATGGATGATAGCCGATCATTACCATTCACTAAAACGGTCTGCTGAATTTAAGTCTTGTAGAGCGAACAACATTTTACCCAATACGGGACGTAAAATATGATGATTGGCTAATGTAATCAGCTGGGGAGGTAAAGGAGATTACGGAAAGATTTCGCGGTCCAGTGACCATGGGGATAGAGAAAAGATATCATCTAAGATAATCTGCAGATGGGCGATGGAGATTTGGGGATAGGAATAGTGATAAAAGCAGTGGTGCAACGAAAAACGCGCAATCTACAAAGGATGCGATTATAAATATCCATTGATAAATATAGCAATCAGTTTATTTTATGAGTGATCCGGTCACGAGAAGAATTCGAATAGTAACATGATAGATATCAAAACACAAAAAAAACAACAACAAAATATCATACAAAATAAGACATTGAGTATAGTCTAATAAGTCTCTTTGAACACGTACACATGCAGTAAATAAGAAAAAAAAGCACGAAAAGAAGAAGCATTGACTAGCTAATAAAAGTTCATGATGACACACAATAATTACGGGAATTTGTTTATTTCTATTATTTCACCCGTTTTTTTGATTTTTGAATTTTTTTTGTTTCTCCACAATTTACTCCATTTTAACCATTGGTTCATCCTCATCCTCATCCTCATCCTCTAAAACCTTCTTTAAAATCTCGCATCGTCTCTCAAGCACAGCCAAAAATTCCTCCACTTGCCGTCGCGATAATCTATCCACCAGCTGCTTGAATTTTGCTTCGTCAAAATAATCAAACGGTGGAGGCATATACGGGTCATGTGTGTTATTTGTATTAATATCACTTGATGGAGGAGAACTTATCGGGGACTGCTGCTGATTATTATTCTGCTGCTGCTGTTGCAGCGCTCTCTGTAACTGCAGTTGTTCCAATTGCTGTAGCTGCAATTGCTGCTGCTGTTGCTGTTGAGACGTTGCTGCAGTCGCCAAAGTCAATAGTGCAGGAGCAATATGTGTAGTAGGAGGCGGTAATGGCATTATCGGTCGTTGATTAGGTGAAGATGTTATGCCTTGCATCGGTGATAGCGAAGGACTCTGCGGACTCGACGAGAAAGACTCGTCGGAACCTGATGCCTCAATTAATGAATTTCCGTTAGTGTCTGATGGATATGCAGCACCCCAATCTCTACGTCGTCGTTGGATTTTTGACTTGCGCATTGCAAGCGGCCTATCTCTGTTATGCATCTTGGCATATAAGCCACAAGCATTGCACAATGGTTGGCCTTTCTCGTTCTTCCGCCAGAGCGGCGTCTGTGTTTGTCCACAATTAATACATTGAACTGCCGATTCGGTTACAATTGTTACCGGGTCAACTGGTATAGAAGATTGAATCTGCGTTGGTTGCGGACTCGGTGCTGTATTCAATTGAGCGGCAACTGCTGCTGCTGCCGCTGCTGCCGCGGCCTCTTTCGACGCGGGAAGTATATAGGGATAGGAACGTGCAGCAGGTTTTGTCTTGTGTATTATGTGGAGAGGACGATGGGTGTTGTACTGTTTATAGTATAGACCACAAGCATTGCACAAAGAATGCATGCGGTCGGGTGTCCTCCGCCAGAGTGGGGTATTTGTTATTCCACAGTTGTAGCATTCCAATAGGCGAGGTTGCCTGGTTACTACTGGTTTTTTTGTAGAGTTGTTGGCAGAGGGTGTGGAGGGTGCGCTTATTGAAGTTTCTTGCGGCGATGCAAATGATTGAGGGAAGGTTATACTTGATGTTGGTTGTGTGGGAGTAGTAACTGGAGTAGTAGAGGCAGTATGTATGATATTAGATGTATGTATTTGCATTTGTATATGTATGGGGTCTGGTGTTGTCTGTGTGTTTACAAGTATATCCATTGCATGTGACGAATTAGTTGGAGTTGTTTGTGTTATTGATCGTTGTTCTTGTCCAGCAGTAGACGCTTCTGTCGGTTGTGATGGAGTTGTGTCTATTGATTGCACAGTGGTCATCTGTTGCTCCCTCTCGCTTGGAGTTGTCGGTGAGGTGGAAATCGGGGTTGTATGCGTGGATGTGTGCGGTTCTGTCGAAAAAGAGTCAGCTGAGGGTCTACGGGGACATTCATCTGGTAGTTGACATAAATTAAGATATTGAGCACAAGTGTTTTGTGTTGATAATATTAAAGTGCCTAGCATATGAGAACATACCAGCTGTTTGATGTTCCATTGTATCCCACTGTTTTAGTAGTAGTAGTGAGGAGGAGGTTGTAATATTAGACATCTTGTCGAGTGAAGGAGTGAGTTTAGGAGGACAAAGGTGAGGTAGATGAGGAATGTCTGAAAAGGGTGTGTGGTGGCTACTTACCGGAAGTCGGTTAGATTTAAGTCTGGGAGAGGTTAGTTATTGAGGTAATTGGTGGAGAATAAAGAGTATTAAAGTGGCTGATAAAGAGGGTAAAGATGAGAAGAGCCATTGTTATTGGGTGGATGGTATAGCCGAGTTCTATCGCCACCAATCATACGATATCATCAGATCATTATTTCCTCATAACAGATCAAAATCTCCACAATCTCCGCGTTCCGCAGTGTAACTGCGCTGTGATCTTTCTGCTATCGTCAGTCACGGTCACTCATGGCTGCGTGGCGTACTCCAAGTGGACGATTAAAACCATCAAGATCTTGTTGCTGGCCCCCATCATCAGTTCTTCTCACGTCCTCTTTAACTTTCACACCTTCCAATTCAGCCGTGTCAAGTGATTGAACACAGCCAACTATAGTCAACACCCCTTTTCATCATTGATGAACACACATTCCCACACGTTCTTCAAACAATCAGAGAAGCAACCTGTATTATGGATCCAATCTTGATTCTTAACCTGGCAAAAGTCGCACTTGGATACTTTGCATTATGGTTATTATTATTATTATAGCTATAAACGTGCTAGTATATAAATGGAACCCACATAAGTTGATCATAAGACATAACGCCACTCTGCCACAGGTGCCACAGTCTCTGAATGTAGGTAGCTGCTCTTGTCTAATTCAGTTATTTGTTAAAAGGTAATCTAATTCAAGTTCTTGCTTTATTTGCTGCTTTGAGTTAACTGATTTCCATTATATTTTCGTAATTAAGTCGTCATTCCACCTCCTCTCTACCATTTATTTTCTCCTCACCCCTTCATGTGCGCCGCATGATGCTGCCGTGGTACGAAGTTTATTACTTTCTCGCTATAAATGACGTAAAAGAGTATTCTTATCCATGACGCGGAGGAAGTCATCACTGTTACATGCATTATTGGAATGATTATGGAAGGAATCTCATTGGTCGCACATATTGTCAGCCGAACAATTAGAATTGTCTGTCGCCCGAACATTCTGGTTATGGCATTTGCTGTACAACAAACCTTGTCATAGCAAATCTTCGATATAGTACAGTTAGGCCGTATCGTTATGCAACGATCTTAATCGGTACATTTCCGTTATATAGCAATATAGTGAATTTTATTACTATGTGACGCATTGTCGCACAAAGCCACAAATTCATTTATCGAAAATATGCACGCATGGACTGTCATGATTTTAGCGTTGTTTCCACGTATATCCAAACTTCAAATTATTACTACACTATTGGGCTTTGCAATACGACTGTTTGTTGGAATCTTTTCTTACAAGACGAATTCGATTTTTGAGGATGAATGTTCAATCTTTGAGAAATAGTTCAATCCCTGCGTACATAGTCGGACATCCAGCAATAATAAACAATTACCGATAAGGGCAAGTTAGAATTGCACCAAATGGTATAAATGATAACAAGAGAAGAAGATCATTCCGAAGATAACAACCAATATTATATCCATAACATATTATTTAATACGGAATGCAAAAAAATGTACTTTTCGAATGTTTGACGTTTCTAATACCTTTGCTTATTATTTTTAATGTCAATGTTATATTAATATGGCGACTTTAATTTATCTTTAGATTTCGGTTTAATTTTAAATTTTATTCAATAACCAATAGTTCTCCAATTTTGCACAAGTTAAATTTTCCATGTAAACTGCACTTTATTCCACCTTATCTACGAGCATTATAACAATTGCTACTCACAGGCTATCCAATGGTGGTGGCAAGAATGTGTCAACATTGTCATGGGAAAAGAGAGGTAGCCGTACTTAAACTCGTTTCGACGACTCGATTTTTTCTCCATAACGGGATAGCATTTGAAAAACGCTATGCCAACGAATAGCTTCGGGAAACTCTCTGCGTCATATTATCTTATTTTCTTTTACAAATACTGCTACTTTTTAACATAAATTTGATAATATTTCTGCTATACTCCTGACGCCTTTTTACTATGCAAGTAATAAGGTAAATATTATGTACGTGGATGACATGTCAACTTAATTGGAGACGGTGATCTCTTTTATCCTTTTCTGACCATAGTGGAATTATGAATGTATTGTTATTGTACGTAGAACATACAATATGATTGGATGAGTATTGACAATAAAGCATTATTATTATATTACTCCCATTGGTTAAAATAGATGCTCTTTTATTATTGAATATCAGTTTCTGAATTAATGTATTATAATCAGTTATACCTTTACAAGATTTAGAAGGTATAAGTATTTCTGTACTTATTGTGAACAGTAACACTATCTTCCTAAGGTCTCGTTTAATAATTTAATTGGACAGATATGCTTTTGTCGTAGTACGGTTTTGACCACTCGTCTATACCTCATTACAATAAGTACTGTGCGGAATATTACACATGTTGGAAATGTTTTCAGATAAAATACTTCAAGAAAAAGGCCTCAAGTTTGCAAAGAACTTTAATATTGAAGTTGTCGACATACGATGTTCTAATTGGCATGAGTGTACAACTTCAAAAAGAAACATACTATCGAATTTTTTATAAATCAATGCCGTTCGAATAATCGGCAGAAATTAAATTAACGAATGCAACTATAGTATTATTTATATGCACTGGTTTAATAAGCGGTCGAATAACAAATAAGTTCGATCGAATAAAAGGAAGAAAAATATCATATAAAAAAATCGGGCCTCGCTCAAGGCGATCGAATTACTGAAAAGTCGCATTATAGAGTCGAATTATTGGCAGTCGGCTGTAATAATTTCTTTCTAACTTGGCCTCATGCTAACCAGATTTTGTCAGTAGATTTTTTGCTTCTTCTTCGTTGCGAGCATTGTACTGTAAGCTATTCCAAAACCGTTGGCAAGTATCACATAAATCTGTTCTTGGGCTCATGTAAGGTGTTAATTGGTGCGAAACGTATCATACAGTATTTTAACAATCCCAACGTGCTACTGTCTGCAAGACCTGCAATAAAATCGCGATAAACCGACTTACTGTATAACTCGATGTAAAATACAAGTGATTGGGTAATGCGATTGACGATCGAACCTCGGTTACCACTCGGCGAAAATTTTTCGTCAGAGTATTCTGGTGGATCGCAGATTTCGCCAATTGCAGGAGTGCTGAGGGTTAGTGGGTGGTGAGCCCGTTACGGCGTCCTGAGTAGACTACCCTCGACATACGATTAACACTCCATCCTAACTCTTACCTGATATTTAAGACTAACAAAATCTTGACACTGGTCCGGAAATCGGGGTCCTACCAGCCTATCCCTTTCTTGGCTTAACAACCAAGTTGCGCAGGCATCCCTTACCATTTCGCGCCCATTCCTTAGCAAGCATCAAGATTTGACCTAATATACATATTTCACCCCGCTTTAGTAGGTTTTATCCCTTTTTCGATATGTTCGGCTACCAGTTTAGCTTTACTCCTACGCCTATATGAGTACGCGTCGTAATCTCCCATTGTCAGTTCATTCCGATGTGCATAATGATGCTTATTGGTAGGCTGCCCTCTTACCTAGGACACACATGGATCCCCATTTATATCGGAGGCCCGCAGAACAGTTCTTTAATCCCAATAAGACATCGCAACGGTTTTACACCTATCGTAGGAATCACAACACATACCCCTTAATGCTAGAAGTTCTGGTTCGCGGTTTACCTACCGCCGAACTCGCCCAAGTGAAATAATATACGTTAGTCCTTAAACATAGCAGAAGCGGTTAGGTCTCCATCCACGGTAACTATAGCTCCCATCTTCCAAGGCTACTGAGAATCCTCACGTAGACTTTTCACCAAAGAAGACTTTGTCACGCATTTGGAGCGCGGCTCCGCATTAAAGGCCCGACGTGGCCCGTACGTGATTTACCAGTAAATCGAACACCAGGGTTAAATCATGAGCAGACCCTTTTCCCCCTAATCACATTGGTCCTCCGCGTCCATTAGTAGTTTAACACAATCGCCAATCCCGTGTGAGGCCGTCGGAACGGCGTCTACAATACATAATGCAACCCGCAACAAGGCATTACGATACGTCGAGCAGATCGGATCCATGACGCGCCTGCGGAGCGCGAGACACTTCACCTCACTTTTCTCAGTACCTTTTGACCCCTCACGGACATTAGAAAGAGACACGCTTCCCACACATTGCGGTTTCAGACGTTATCTACCAACTTTGTCTTTGTTCCAATGCTTTCGCGGTACTCAGTTACCACACAATCATCATCGGCCTGACATCCAAAATAGTGGTGGATAACTATAGGCGGATTCTTGTTAGTGAACTAACTAACTACCCTTTCGGGCGTCTGTCGACTATATCTTATGATTCCGGTTTTTCATACCCCTTTGTACGTTAACAAGCTGTAGAAGTTGGCTGGTGTCTGGCCATTTTTCCAGATCTTACACCCAATCTTCATTAATGATTTCCAGCAAAAGTCCTCGTCTACGCTAGTGACGGTGTTACTTATTACTCCTGCTCGAAAACAAACAGAACGTCGCATTGGGACGGAACCCCACTACCGTTTAGTCTGTGAACTGCATGGTCGGGCACTCTAAGAGTCTCACCCAGGCCACTTGGCTGCCGATTATCCATTCCCTCTTTTAAGGGACCCTGTATATCATCAGCATTTCTCACTTTATTCTCGTACCTAGGACTTGCTTAAGGTCCAGACATGTGGGGACACCACACGGGCCATGGACTCGAACGAGTATCCAAGCTAGCCATCCTAAAAATAAACTGATTAGCTTCTCTAAATTTTCCCTAAGAAAATGTTAGAACTGATGACATCGTCGCCAATACAGGGCATAACAAAATAGACTGCAAGCAGCCTATAGTGCTTAAATCTCCAAAGGTTTTTACCATCCATAAAGCCATTACGCTCTACTGCTGCAAAACCGTTTTCACGCTTTCCGCGGTACTTTGGAGCTTTAGGACCTTCCGGCAATTTGATAGTGTCGCACAAATGAGGTACACCCCACGGTGGAACGCTCGCTACCCTTTCCACAGAGTTCTCAGGCTCTGTTTACAGGCAGATTTCTCCATCACTTAAAGAAGGTGTTCTCAAGAGCACTAGCAAAAGGTTAGGTTTAACTACTAGGTTCATAGCTGGTACGATAGTGTCTTGTTACCTCAACAGAGTCTCCCAGCAACTGATATGACCTAGAAAATTTTGGATATATCATCACATTGTCATTAGTAGCGATTGTGTACGATTTGCACTGCTGGAAAAGAGGGCCTGTGTCTCGCTGCCTAAAGACCTGAGAAGATCCAGTTTTTAAAAGTGCTATAGTTTCTCAGTGGCTCCGCAATATACTAGTGGCTAGTTCGGAGAAATTTATATCGCTCCCCTCCGTCTCTGGGAGCCGCACATACACAATATATCTAACAACAATTAAACGACATAGACAAAACAAACGTTCCCCTTCACTTTTGTAGTCTGCACTTTCCTTTCTTAAAGGGAAAGCATGCAAACTGTCGTCGTAGAATTCTACTAATTGCTTCATAGTTGGGTTATTGAGAAGGTAATAGACGTGTCAGTGTTGGATTGATAATTTGCATCTTTTCATTAGGAGTTGTTGGGCTGTACTTCTTGTCTCGGGTATTTTGCTCAATTTCGTTTTCTTTTCTTTGTCCCAACGAATATCCACGGAGCGATTAATCTTTCGCGTAGTAGTAGGGTGTTCTTCCGATCGGGGGATGTTACCAGATTTAGCTTCGTGCTACCGCCCTTATTACGGTAGTTGTTCAATAGAATTTACAAGTGACTTAATTTAATAATTAAAATGCGCCCTCCTATTTAAACAGGGCTATCTAGTCGGGGTCTTGTCACTTTGTCTCTTAATAAACTAATTAAACGATATTCGCTTCAATAAATAATTATTGTGTCCGGTCAAATAATTAATATTTCAACGATGAAAGAAAGTAAAATTTCGATTGCAAAGGGAATCGTTTATTTCCGTGTAGTACTATTATAAAGTAATACTAACAACATCGATAACATGAAGGGCTGCTTATATATACTTTAGCGTTGCCCAAAATGCGAAACGAAGAAATTCTTTAAAGAACCAATAAATTCTAAATTAGCTAATACCGTCGCGAAGATTTTACCATGTGACTTGCTTGTCTGATTCATCAGATCGTAACAATATTTGAATCGCAAGAACATAATCCACATGCTTCTTTGTCGGTGACTTTGAATAACTTAACTAATCTTTCCATTATCTACAGTATTCCAATCTTTCATCAGTTTGGTCAGATTGAAACCTCAGCAATGACCACCAAGAACCCCCAAAAAGAAGGGGGTGCAAATCTAAGCACTGTTGTATCGGAAAAAGATACATTGGCTTGTTTTTGATATCCCGACACTTTTTTAAAGATACTGTGTGCTCGCTACTACAAAATGCAATAATCGTGCGACATAACGATAATCATGCGCGTTTATTGTTATAATAACGATTTTCTGATCCGACAGACAAAATTAATCACGCAAATCGATTAGAAACATGTGGAGATATGGATTTTTGAAGTATATGTCGAAATAAGCGACGTACAGCTTTGATATGTTTTATACAGTAAATATTGGATGATCGGAAAATTTGCTGAAGACAGTCGTCAAGCTGAAATTTTACAGGTAATCATGGTTTGTAATGCACTATTAGAATTAAGGCTGTTCGGATACTTACTGTAACTACTAATATTAGTTGCCAACGATGTTGTACAAATATTGAGCTCAACAAGATTTATTATTCACATTCATAATTGACAATGGCTATTAATTATTAACATACCCGTGCAACATAGAATGAGAGATAATTATGGGACACATTAGTTTCAATGCGCCTGATACTAATGTAATGCAAAAGTTCAAAAGCGCTGTAATTGTGAGGATACCGTAGACCTTTCTTAGGGTGGGTATTCCACTCAGGGGATGTATAAAAGCATGTATTACGGCGGGCGCTATGTAATACACTTGTAAACAAAGACATGTCAGTATGTCCTTGTTTAAGTAACGACAACGTATACCTCATTGTATTCGCGTGTTCATGCATCAATACGCAGAAAATGGCGCAAAACGATCAGCTTATTTCGTTCTGTTGATGTCCATAAGGTTTGGATATTAAACAAGTATAAAAAAACCGTTTCAGTTACCGAATATGCGCCAGAGTTTAAGTTTTAAGCCCTAGATCTGACTAGCGATACGATGCATGAAATCGCGGAGTAAATATATGATATGTGGTATACAATGAATGAGAAAAAACATGCAGGAGATTACGGAACGCAATCCTGGTTTTAGAATCACTAACAAATGGAGAAAAGTCAATAAGTGAACTAAACGGGGTTCTCCAACTCCTGACTAAACAACTATCGCCGCAAAAATTTGATATAGCAACAAGGCTCTGCTTGACAAGTCAGAGAATTGCGGACGCCGAACAGTTGTGTGAAAAATGATGGGTGAATTTGATCATATTCACTTGTATAAGTCATCGGTTATTGTTATTTACCATCATGACGGAAACGATGAGCATAATGCATAATGCATATAATCATAATTCTAAATATTGTTCTCACACCGTAAACAAAACGCCTCAACAAATAATAATAAGAGGCGAAACATTGTTTCCATATCGAGTTGAAGCTTATACATCTGTCTATATGCTATATAAGCAATTTCCTGTGTCCAACTACTAGAAAGGTATGGTTGTAAATATGTTTGGGGTATGCAAATTGAGGGGTTCTTTGTCAGCACAAGCCTGATTCAGCATCACAAACATTTGAGGCAATCTACCTAAACAGTGAATTCGTTATTCAGCACTACTCTGCCATTGTGTTCAATAATAAGACTTCTTCATAATGTTTATTGCTACTATTAACGTTACAACATAACCATATTAAATAAAACTCGAATTAATTATATAATAATACATAAGTTTAATGTTCAGATACTATAAGACGGTCAGGATCCCATGTTTGGTGGTAACCATGCGCCAGAGCCCACATTGGTTCTGTTTCCATTCCTCTCCAAATCATCATCCTTGATTCTGCTCTGCAAGATCTCAGGCTGTGTTTCGTTTGTCACCGTTACCTCTGAAACACTTGTATGTCCAACTCTACTTCCCGTTTCATGATCGCCATTATACACTGTTGTCTTTCCCTGAATTTTCCTCACTATATCGGCATCAAACGTTAATACGTATGACATGGCAATGCAAACGATTGCTTGTAGAGTATTAAAAAGAACTTGATCAATATTTGTTGCTGTTACGGTATACAATGCAAGAGAATCTACCAATGTCGCAACGAAAACTCTTAACAAATTCCACCAGAGAACAGCAGTAAATATAGTTCGTTTAGAATCTCTTGGAACCGATACAGAGCGCGAATATTTACGATTGGCGCTTCCAAGTATCTGCGCCAGACGTACTGTAATGTACAAGTCTATTAAATAGTCGGTTACAACGAACATGATTGTTGCCAATTTATCATGGACGAGAACGTTACAAGAGTCGGTGGTAGTCGAGTGAGTCACGAGTCGATCTGCTATAATTTGATATAGCTGTCCGATTGAAGAATAAGCAAGCGCGCGCGATTAGAAACATAATAACACTAGACAAATGAGTATCACATAAATTTGGTTTTGTTTTTTTACCTGTAGCCCAGTTCTCGTCAATATTAAAATTAAAGCAACATGCTTGTCCCAAACAGAATTCGTAATGTGAATCAATCGCCATAATAAAAAGGCAACAAGAGATTCTCTGTAGATAAACGAAAGAACTTCATGCACAAACGTCATATTGTCACATTGCTTTGCTGTTATTATGGATACCATAATAACAGCAAATGAAACTAAAAGCCTTGCAGCACCGCTAAGATTGAAAAGTGTTTTCAATATCGTGCTCACATAGCTGTGATGCTTGGTCAGGTGGAATACCGACAGGAAAGCATTCTGTATGAATATCTGTATCACATTAACGTGGTGCATTGTTAATGAGTAAAGTAATTATGGTATTTTGCGGATACAGTTTTAAAGAAATAAACTTACAGCAACAGGCAGAGCAATTACGAATGCAATGTAATGGGAACTATATGGTTGGTCCAGCATGGTGATTATTATTTAGATTTACTGCTTTCTCGTTGAGAATTTCTTTAGCTATATGTGAAATAATAAGATTAGATTAAATAGTGTTCGTAAATTATGAAGTCATTTGCTTTCTTCAAGTACTGTTAATAATATTACAGTTAGGGTTGAGACTGGTAGTCAATAAATATATGTTTCCTATGCATTGTATATCTAATAGAGGATCATATCGCCCAGCAATTTGACATCGTTACTTGAAAAAAAAATCAGGGTCTTCTTATAGTGCTGACCATAAGAGGCGTATACACATACAAATTCCTAAATAAATAAAAGAAGAGCTTTAGCCGAAACAACGAATTGTACAATACATATTGTAACCAACTATTGTCTTATGACGTTTCAGTACCATGCTGCGGTTTGCTGCACAATAAACCTATTTTTATAGGCATGTGCAATTTTTATGTATTATAAAACTATTTATACATATACACATGCGAATTGCTCTTTTTATAGATGCATTACATAATAATAATAATAGCTCATACAACATGCGCGATTTTCGTTTCGTTCTCTTAGACTTTTAACAAAGAATCCTAACCATTTCATTGTCTGGACAAAAGAAACCATGACAAGTATATGACAAAATCGGTGCTTGTCGGATAAAGAAAAACTTATCTCCGCTCCGAGCACAGTGTAACCAGAATGTCCCTTATATTACTGTATTATTTATTATTATATGATACTCAATGATTAGGTATTGTCTCCGATCACAATGCGATTATCTTACAATTGCTATGCCACGACTGCGTCCTATAATTCGCCTATAAAAAGTATGCGTAAACACAATGGTCAACGCCTCGGGGGGTGTGTGTGTAATCTTTTTTGTTAGGGATGGGGCAAACAACAAGGGCGGGAATTGTCGTAATCTTTTTGATGCTAGGAACGGAATTAAACAACTTGGTCTCGACATTTGTGGTACGATTGACAAGGTAAATGAGAGATCAAACATATGTGTACGACTGATATGTTTTACAAATACTGCCGTAATACTGGTCTCTCTCACTATTTACAAGCCAAATATAAGAAGTCTAACAGTTGATGGTGCTTGATTGTGTTTCCTACAAGTGATCTCCAATTCGTACAGTATTTTGATTTGTGTCATAGCATATGAACCAGTGGACATGTGCTATTTGGTCTGGTGAACGTAGAATAACTGATGTTGGGAACTACCAATAGTCTACCAGTTGTCTTGTTTTCCCCTTTCATCTACTAAATGTAAATCGATCGCTTATTTGTATGGCATCAGTACGAAAGAGCAAACTTAATTAGAACTTCTTGTCAAGGATTTAGAGAAGCGCATGGTTACGACTTTCTATGGAATAAAAGAAGTGAGAAGGAGATGGTAACGGTAGTAATGTTTGTTGTTATGTATGGTGGTGCTCGACCGAAATTGGCATACGTTGACATGAACAAGGAATTAAGTTGGGCAGGGTAATATTCAGTGCGAGCATAACATCATATCAACAGGTAACGATACAGTGGTTAGTGTCATATTAAATACCAGCCAACTAGCTATAACGGTCTTACTAAACATCAATCATCTTATCAGCAGTATTTAAAATCATTTGTTTGTTATGGTTGATGGATAAGATTGGATGGTTGGGCGATGTAACAAAATGAACACTATTTATGAACTTTATGAAATCAAATATCAATAATAATATACGGAATGGCTTCACAGACATCATGCAACTGGAATCAACTGTACACATGCAAGAGAACTTCCAATGCATCTAGTCAAAATAGATATCATATGGGCCATGTACTGTACCAAGTTGTGTCTTAAGGAAGGGGGAATTGGCAGCTTGTATGTTATTGCTTGCTTATTCCAAGATTATTTCAGCAATTAAGGACTTACATAGTATTAGTATTACGTTGCTAATTAATTAATAATTGTGCATGGCAGACATACATGTTTATAATCAATACAGAATATTCATCCTCATTCGACATTCTAGCACTTACTGAACCGGTTTCACTGTCATTTATCTTCTATACTGTATTTGCCAAGTTACTCGGCCGATCACGGCAATCATTGCAACTGTTCTTTTCTTCTCAAATGGGGGTTGTGCAATAAAATATCTAATTGCCATTTAAGACTGCAAATCGTAGCTCTTACAATTACGTTTTACAGAAAAAATACAAATACCATGTACATATAAAAAGAACACTGTAAAGTGCACGATTTTTTTCCTCCCTCAACTGACATTTTTGACCAGGAGTAGAGAACAATAATAAAGAGACAATATTTCATTACAAGCATCTCAATCACATTGTTGTAGCCATTCTATAAATACAGTTCCATTTTGATCAACGAGATTTCTCACAATATACTTGAAAGGAAACATTTAAAGACAGAACTATGCCTGGTGTTACTTCACTGTCTGAAGATAAACTATTGAAGCCATCGCGCTACGGGATGATACGAAAAGATGGCATCAAGAAATTTGTACGTATTTGAATGTATAGAATGCAACGCAATGACGCTATATCATGAATAAATAATGGCAATTAGAATAATGGGCAGTCGATGTTTTAGGATATTAACATGAGGGACAATGAATAAAAATATCAACTATCTATCGTATCTATTTATTAATGTATACTCGTTCACAATTCCCAAACATTAGAAGAGAATGCTTCGAACGAGACTCCGCTCTCTCCGTTCACAGACACAAACCCGTATTCCTTTATATTTGCAATTAACATCCATTAAAAGCATTCGCGCTTCGACTTCCGACTCCAACTCCTTCATACGGAATAACAAGCTATCCCTCAATAACCTCCCAGTTGAGGTATTAATACGCATATTCGCTCTCCTCGTAGAACCGGTCGATGCTTTGCAAGTGTGGAGAAACTGTCCAGATAAAAGCCAACTATCATGGGACGGAAACTATAATGAAATGAATGTATACACAATGAACGAAATTTCAGAAGCGGAGAGATGTAGAAAAGTACTCCGATTGACATGTAAAATGTGGAACACGATTGTACTCGAATCAGTGGTCGAATGGAATATTGACATAGGGCGTATTATGGTAAGTAGCAAGTTAACGACCACGAGGGAGAATATTATCTGCATCAGACGAACTCTGCATAAAGGGGCAAGGGGTCCTTTTGATGTTGCTCAAGAGATCATTTGTTTATTTGGTTTCCATGCTCAATGTCTTTCTCTCCCCTTCCCCCTCCTCCCCCCAATAATAGACATTTACACCACACAAGTTTGCCAAATATCCTTTCGGCCTTCAACGACTTGCAATTACGAATAGCGAATACTTACATGACACTCGAGTACATTCGTCGGACATATCAAAGTGGCTTCAGGGTAACTTGTCGAATCTTGAATCGTTCACAGTCCAGGGATGCTGGGATTTTAGTGGAGCAGGGTAAGTAACGTTACAATGCTTTGTAATTAACGTTCGCCAAGATATTATAGAACATTGTCACTTAATCTCAGTATTGACGAAGCTTTCATTCTCCCCTACTCGCAGATTGATGAATTTACCCTACAGCTTACGTGAACTACGTATAATTAACTGTCCTCAAGGTAAGCAAAAGCGATCAATAAAGTTACGATACTATATGCCTGTTCACCTCTGATAATACTCACACTAATTCAAATCTTTCTTGATAGTATCATCCCGTAAATTGGTACAATCGCTTCAACATCTTAGCAATATCAGCTACCTAGCGATCGATTTTTCACTATTATTTTCCGATGGATCTCTGTCGACATCAATTCAGTCATTCCTTCCTCGTCTCCAAACCCTTCAGCTCATTATCGACAGTTCATCTTTGTCAAACACCAATATTACCCGTGACTCACTTCCCAATCACATTTCCGAACTTGTTCTTACTCAAAATCATCCACGACATCGACACTATGTTCTTGGCAACCAAGATCTTGTTCACAGAGATGCAGAATATGAACTCTGGGATAAATCATTACTTCTTAATAATCCAGACATTTATCCGTTCAATCTGCATCAACTAGACGTATCCAAGTGTACACTTCCATATGGAGTATTCGCTCTCCCACGCGTTCTTACGCATCTAAGTGTCGGATACCCTTCTCTTCCTGTCGACTGGATGCATGCAAAACTACCTTCTACACTTGAACATTTAAAGATATTGGGCTATGTATACCACGTACAATATGAAGAAAAAGATGATGATCTTTATGTTGCATACGGAAACAAATGGATACAAATGCTACCCGATAATGCACCTCGATTGAAGACACTCATTTTGAGAATATACACATCAAATTCAGCTGATTTATATCACATAATTGGAGAAAGATATGCGAGTAGCCTTCAATATTTTGATTTATGCATGCTAAAGCCAAGATATGGATCGCAAGCATGGATGAATGAAGACAATAATGAAATAGCAGGGAGAATTAAAATGTTAACGTCTTTGAAGAGTTTACAGGAATTTAGAATGCACAGCGTAATCAGTGATGGAGAGTTAGAATGTATGCCAGGATCGTTAAGAAGACTAAAAATGTATAAGGACTATAAAAATGATGTGAGCGAAAAAGCATTGAAGATGTTAATAGCAAAGGGAGTATCGATAGACGAAGTAGACGAGTTGTTTGGGTGTGCAGAAGCAGGATCGATTTGTTGCTGTGAAGATGTCACAACAAGAACAAGATGACGATTTAAGAGTTTGTACAAAAGGATATTAGGAGAGTGATATACATATGGGGGATTGGTGGGATACGTAATTAATGTAGCGTCTATTACGACGGGAACTATATTCTAATGTACATATTATTTAATGGAGTTTTTGTAGCTCTCAGTAAACACGAATTTACCATTGTATAAATAAACCAACATCAAATCATTGACGCGTACATTGCAGATTATGTTTATAGAATTAGTTTTACAAAGATTATTATAACTTCATGTGCACGTGATATACTGTGCAGAAAACGTAAATAAAAAAAAACCAGACTAAATATAGACTAACTATATATTCGTACCACTTACCGTAGGCATTTTTCTCGGCATTTTATACGACTATAAGGTTGCTGCTATGATACAAATTATATTCGTACTATGCCTAATTTTGCGTATTTACTTCTTCATAAGAATATTTTTCTCTCGCAAACTTACAGGCTAGGAGAAAGTTCTGGTGCGCGCATCTACTTGTCCAACTAATAGATCATCCGAGTGGGTAACGCCTACATAAACGATGCCAAGGTTGACTAATGTATTGATGGAATATATAAACACCGGTTTACGCGTAATAGCTCTATGACGTAAGATCTATCTACTTTGGAACTATTTTTCGTGAAATTAAAACTACGGCAATTGTGAACGTTTCATTTAAATTTTCCGAATCATTTATTTGAGTGATCATTCTTGTTCTATTCATAACTATCAAAAATGACATTTATTTAATTGCTTTGAGAAAGACTTAGAGATTGTGCTCTCATTTAATATATTTCTCCAAGCGTGGGATGACCTTTTTCATTATTATGATCTGCTCTGGTTATTTCGGTGGCATCCAGAAAATGCATAGTATATGTACGCAAAATTAATTATCCGAACATTAGTTGTTAACTACGCTTCTTTGCTTTCACCACATTCACAGTAAAATCTTTATCGTCGTTGCCAGAAGTAGTCACTTCGTAGCTAGATGATTCAGAGTCAGACCCGGATGAAGACGAGGATGAGGATTCAGATGCGGTATTGTTAAAAATTAGTTTTTTTTCTTTTAGCCTTACATGGTGTACGATTTCTCCGAGAAATATCGGGGTTTGCTATCGCGTTTATAAGTTCTTGACGAACCTCAGGTTTCACTATCTCCAGTAATTGGTGAAGAGAAATCCGGATTTTTTTATCCAATACTTGCCCACTATTACCCCAATAGTATTCTGCTGCTCTGTTAAAGACTTGGTTACTGTTTCGATACATCCACGTAATTCTTGCAAATTGATTGATGCATCTAACTCTTTACAAAATTCTTGAGACGAGATAGCATTGGCCGTGCCAGCTCTGTTGATATTATCTTCAGTCATTGTAAATGCGGAATTATTATTTATTAATACACAAAAAATATAATTAAATATATTATCATAATAAAACACAATGAGAATTTTATCTTGTAAAATTAACAAAGTACCAGTTAAAACTATATTAGATACGTCGGAAGTAGCAAATATATATGAGTTATAGCAGAGTATTGCAAAGCAAGCCTTTAGGCGATTCTTCGAATCGGGTCTACAGGATAGGTTAAGTGAATATGGTGTAAATTATATTGCTAACAATATTAAACCGTCAGAAGCATGGTTACGGTTTGCAAAATATTATCCACCAAAATATATACGCAAGCGTTTATTAAAATTAGAATATAAAATAGATAGTAGAGATTACTGGGAAAATTTTGTATTTCGTATCAAAAATAATTTGACCAGCCATAAGCAAATAGGTAATGACCCTAAATACAGGGATTTTAAAGTTCAACTAGCATTATATAAAAAAAATTGTGCGTCATTAATTATCCAGAAGACATATCGTTTATGGAAAAAACAAATCAATTCAGCTAAAATAATTCAACATGCAGTAATTAAATGGCTTTATAGACCAGGTGGCACATTAAATTAATTATCCAAACAATAGTTGTTTTTCCGATTAAAGATATATAATATATATTCTTGAGAATGGGGCAACTATTACAGAGCAATGACCTAAAGGGTCTAAATATTTTTGACTTACCGGAATTACTAGAACAGATCTTGTATTTTTTAGAAATTGATCGATCCCTCTATCCCGCTTTGTTTGTTAATCGGTTTTGGTACAAGTGTGGTGTTCCTATTCTATGGCGTCGCGTTGAGTTTTTTACAGAAAATGATTATCAGAGAGGTCCGTACGGTCGAAAGATGCCTCGAGCTTTTACTCGGCAATTGAAAAAGTCATGTGTGAAAAGATAAAGCCAACCTATTGCGCCAAGATGGTATACCTCAGGTTAGAAGGTTTAAAAATCTCAGATGCATCGATTAGTACGATTCTACGCTCATGTCCAGATATACGAACTCTTATTCTTGACCGAAGTGATGGTTTTACTAACATACCAATTATAGAAATTGCAAGATATTGTCCAAAGCTATTACGTCTGAGTCTTAATTCATGTATATGTCTCACTAATCGATGTATCACCGAAATTACTCGCTCGTGCCCAAAACTTAGACATCTTGAGCTTGGTGATTGTTCGATTAGCAATAAAGCTGTCGAAGAAATAGCCCGTAACTGTAATGATTTGAAATATCTTAGTTTTGAGGGATGTTAATCCTAAAATTAAAATAGAATATCCTGATTATTCAGATGATAAATGGTCGCGACATTTGGCATTTTTGCGCGGTACCGCTGTAAAAGAACCGCTCATCGATAATTATTTTTGAATTGAAAAGATATTCGTCATAGTTATAGTCCGCAGAAACCATCCCATAAACACAATGTCGAAAATCGCTACAAATTTCGTGAACCGATACAACCTAACCATTCAAACGAAAATTGAATCTTCATATAGGTATATACGTATAAGACTAAAAAACGCTAGAAACATTCGCTGAATAAAATATTTTAAATGGATTTAAATAGGCGTATTTATGGCTCCTGTACTCCTGAAGAATGGGTTGAATATTGCTGGATGCCACAAGTACGTATTGGAGAAACTCCTGGTGAGTGGAAAGAACGGATCTGGGAACGCTTAATGTATTTTAGAGAAAATGTTCTGTTGCCAAGTCAGAGTAAAAAATATCTTGAGGCTAGGAAATTAATACGATTTCCGGGATGACAGTTCATATGCTCCCGAAATCGGAATAGCAATATGTTTCTCTTGTGATCGATTAGTATAGAAATAACGCGTGGGTTATTTGTTTCAGTCGCAATATAGTGAAGATTTATGTTAACTGCATTTGTTATAAATTCCGTGCTTCTCACAATTCGCTTGTTTCTATTATTCAATATTCTTATTATTAAGTATCCAGTGGGTCGTATTTCACAAGCTGGACATTTCCCCGTCGGATACACACTATAATATTTCTGTTCCGCTTCTTCTTAATTGCTGCCAACTCTCTTCGTTTGTAAGAAGCCGAGCAAATGGAAGTGTCTTTCTTCTTTTTGGCGGTGGAAGTAGTTCTGAGTTGGGGTTGTTTATTGTTTTCAGAATTCTCTAGATTTCCCGTGACTACTCAATGTGCTGGTCCCTTTTTTTTGGGATGTTTAGCCGGCGTCGTCTGAGTCTTCATATCCGATGATGATATAAATACATACTCATCATCTGAACTGGCCTCAAATTTCTTGATCAATTCATTCAACATGCCCTAAATTAAAATATGAGTTAGAAAGCCCATTTTCCATAAAAATTCCAAACGGACGAACTTACTCGAATGTTCCATGCCCACTTCAATGCAACTCTCAAGTTACTATATGCGGAGAAGGTAAGTGGAAGATGGAATGACTTTAGAAAGTGGAGACGGTACACCTCATTTCTCTCCATGATGTAGAGGCGGACTTCTGTCATATACGTCTGAAGAAAAAAATCATTACTACATAATAATAAATCACATTTTAAATAACCTATCACAACTCACCTGTATTCCGATTATATATAATTTTTTATCCCCAATCATACATGGGAACTTGGCCTGTAGGTTGTCCAGCATGTCTTTCATCATCCTGGGCAGGTTGAACTCGTCTGATGCCATCTTCGTAAGATCGTAGAAGTCAGGACCACCACACGCAAGCAGACACATGACTTCATGTTGCTCATAAACGCATAGAAGATCGGCCATGTGGGCCCGTTCAACCTGCAGCTCAAAGACGTCTCTGTCTTGATTACGACGATGCTGCGTTGACAACACAGAAGCCTCTCCCCTTTATGACAATTCATGAAATTTTTTAACTTAGATTTAATGTGCTAATTACAGGAATGTTTGGAACTTACCATCGGACGCGACAGTTTCCATCCAAAGCCAGGGCACCCTGCAAAAGCGGAACAAGGTAACCACCAAGCCATTCTCGTTCATAGCAGTTATTCTGGAGCGGATTTCGAGAAGACTCGAATGCATCCAAGCTATAAAGACAGAACCATAGCAATAATAATCAGCTCATGTCATGATAATAATAACAAGTCTTGTGATCATTGCATAGACATACAATTGGCCTGTCACCCGCTCGACCCAACGACATATCTTTGGCCAGTCGTTCTCTGCATATGAAAACTCGTTGCTGTATGTGGGAGTGGGCAGATCACGGAGGCTGTACCACCTTGTGCGAGCATCAGTTAAGTTCCTCTAAAAACACAAAGAGTTGTCAATACATGTTCAGACTAGTCAGTAGTTGCAACATGCCTTACCCTTCCAAACAAGTGGGTGAGAAGAGACTCGATCTCATGATGGTATGTTGTTTGCGCAATGCGTCGGCTTGTTACCAATTCCTGCCAACTTTTCCGAGAAAAGTCACGCCGAATTTTGGAACTTGGCGACAAATCGAGAACGAAGCTATGAGCAGGACTGACAAGAAACCAATAAGTACATCAAGTAAGCACTCATATTAGTAAGTATCATTGATTTCATATTGCCGAACTTACTCGTGAGGCGAAGTGGTCCTCTTCTTGCAGTAACTTCGCAAAATTGCTTTCAGGTTGCTGCCCTTATCAAACATAGCCAAATATCAGAACACGAAAGCTAAGAAATTAAAACATGTAAATTCCTTACAGTTTCCTCGACTTCATCATAATTTGTATGATGACTGTATTCCTCACTTGAGAAGTCAGTTCCAGCATTTTCATTATCCTCACGAAGAGTATGCAATCGCTTATAATGCGATACTAGTTAGTTCCTACTCTTTATGATGAAGCATATGACTATCAATACCTTATTTGCTCTGGCACTCCTTTCTCTTACAATCGTTTCACAAGGAGACTCATATCCGTCTCCCTCATCGCTGTTTCCAGTGTTGTCCATGATTTGTTGTTTTGCTTGTGATTGGGACGACGCCTGAGGTGTAAATGCATAAAAAGGTTACATCTTCATGAAACTATCTTTGATGCTCCTCCACTTGAAAACTCCATGTCGAAATATCTGAGTGTCACTAGCATTCATAAATCACCTGATCATCTGACGGTAGCAAATCTGCAACCACTTCCTAGAGTAATAAAAGAGTGTGATAAGCAAACATTTTTGCTACAAGAAGAATTATCTACTTTCAGTAAGTGACTCGCTTTAATACTTACCAGCTTCCTTTTCAACTGTGCTTCTGGAGCAACTTGGAACTTATCATGCAAAACATCTGCCTTCATCGCTTCTCTGTACACCAGCTTTGTCGACTCAACCTCTTCCTGTAAGAACACATAATTTAGCTTCTATTACTATGTGAACGAGAATTTCATACAATAGCTGATAGTCCAAATCACCTTCTTCTCCAGCATTTGGAACCAGTTTCTAACCACTGTTCTTTTGATTGTCTCATCAAAGCTGGAGTACATTGCAGCAGCTTTATTGCGTGCATGAGATAAGAGATTTTGCTGGCGGCTGATTGTGCGAAGTTTCATCCTCATCTCTTCCAGAACTGATTCAATGTTTTCACTATATAGATTGCTATGTTCCGAGATGTACTGAAGAGCAGCCAGAATGCTCCAATCCGGATGGCGTGTTTCCTCAAAAAACATAGAGATAGCCTCAAGTACAAAATTTTTAAAAAATAAATTGATTAATCTTTGCAAATGTTCAATATCAAATCAATATGGGCATTGACAAGGTGTATTCTGGTCAGAAGCCCGGTACCATACCACTACACAGGAGCGCAGCAACTGATGACAGTCCTGGTAGGCTGATAGGGAGCTCCTTCCAAGCATCGGCCATATGCAATCCACAAAATTATGGAGCTCATACAGGCGTAGGATATCACCAAGTCTGGCAACTGGTCAGAAGCCCGGTACCATACCACTACACAGGAGCGCAGCAACTGCTGACAGTCCTGGTAGGCTGATAGGGAGCTCCTTCCAAGCATCGGCCATATGCAATCCACGAAATCATGGAGCTCATACAGGCGTAGGTGCCAATTTATGCCCATGCACAAAACAAATTGCAACTGACCTGTTGTGTGTTGCTTGTGTGAAAATCCTATAAAATCAAAATATTGCCCTTGAGTGAGCGAGCAAGCATGCATTTGCACAAGGAATGATCAGTTATTCGTTGGCCTTACTTGTTCGAATGCCGCCATATTGAAGAAGCGCGTTGGGGAATGTGCAATTTTTTCTGCGGCTGTTATCACCACCGTCAGCCAGTCAGAAACTTTGCAATTTTGTGTACTTTTGCATCACACACAGGTTTACTTATTCGGCAAAAAATGTATTGCCATGTTTCCTGATAAAGGTTTTCTGTTCTGATAAGGAAGTTACTTTACAGGTGAAACCTGTTTAGTTAAGGACGGACACATGACTGCAGCGGGTGAAATATAAACTACATGACTGCATATTAATATGCTCAGTTCCGTTATCGTACTAAAGCAGCTGTTCGGTGAAGTGATAGCATGTATGTTACACATATGGTTTTATACATTTTCATACGTGTAACTTGATACCAGCCACTTCATCGAACAGCTGCTTTAGTACGATAACGGAACTGAACATATCACTATTTTTTTCGAAAAATACAATCAATT